GCCCAGGGCAGCATGGGCCTGCCTCCGCTCGACCGGAACGCTTCCATCGATCGAACCACGTCCCTGAACCGAGACCCGCCCTTGGACCTGAGCGCGTCGTCCCTGAGTCGAGACCTCTCGCTCGATCGGAATGCGGCCCTCAGCCGAGACCCGTCCACAGATCGAATTCCTCCCCTCGGCAGGAACGTGTCTCTGGCCAGGAATTCATCGCTCAAGAGGATGGGCTCGCTGGCCCGGAGCAGCTCCCTGGTGCGAGGCCTGTCGCTCAGCCGAGGGGTGTCGGTGGACAAGGCGGCACTGAAGGTAGACCGGTCGCCAGCGCCGCGTACGAATTCAGGAGAACGCAGGGTTGTTCTTATTTTTTCTTTTCGTTTCTCTTTTCTTCTTCATCTTCTTTTGCTTTGTTTTGAGATTGGCTTCAGTAGCGGGGGATTCGCTGCTGAAGTGAAGAGAAGCACGCCAAGAAGTGAAAACGCAGCTCCTGAGCGAGCAGGCGAGAGTTGCTGTCCGTGCAGTGAAAGGTAGTACGCGTCTCCGATCGCAACAGGCCGTGTTGCGTTTCACATGTTGCGTTTGTTGTAGCAGTGGGGTACAGGGGGTACTTAGCAAACAGCGAGAACATTCGGTGCTCGAATTCAGTGCCCTTTTCCGTGGGTTAGCGATGCTCCCCTTGTTTGTCTCTGGTATGAACGCAGCGAAAGCGAAATCAGAGCGGTCTGGAAGCCATCGTCGACACCAAGAGTGCGCGTGACCGCATGAACCGCGCACACATGGCACAGATGTTGGATTGGTGCGGCTGGCCATGGTATCTCAATGTTTGCGTGGTGGAAAGCACCTGTCGGCATGAACGAGAAGCAGATTTGCGGCCGATCAACACCAGTCCCCCAGTACTCGCCCAGTACTGGCCGGTACTGTCGGCGGAAATCCGCGTCAATCTCACACCGACCGCCGGGGTGTCATTCCGGTGGCGGGCGGCAGTTGCTGGGGGCAGCATCACAAGGATCTGGCGCCCGCCCCGGCGAGTCATTGCGTCCGCCTGACCGTCTCCCGCGTGGCCCTCAGTTAAGCGACAGAAACCGGTTCTTCTTTCGCGGCGTGCTCGGTTGCTCGGGTCCCGCCCGAGCCTTTGGGCGACGGTCTCGACCCGCAAGGGAACGACAGTAGCCCGAGCGCAGCAGTCGCATCGGATGCCCGTGGGCGCCAATCCCAAGAACCCGACGATTCGCAACTGCGAACCGGAGCTGCGGACCTGACTGGCTAGCGCTCGCTTGAGCGCTCGCGCCTTTCGTCCCGATTGTCCTGCGCCCTGCTGGTCGACAGGAGTCTGGTCGCCTTCCTGGGTTGTGAACCTCCCGTGCGTCGAAGGCATTTGGGATTTGCTGCATGCGGGTGCTGGAAGGCGTTGCGGGGGTCCGATAGGGTTGTCCGTTTTGCCAACGGTCGATAGACGTAGAAGGCGCGGGCGGGGCGACAGTTCGCGGCGGGACAGTGATGGATGCCTGGAGCATTGGCGCGGTGCATGAGGAGGAGGTGAGGCGATGCAGGCCACCAGCGCCGGGTCCTGCAACTGCCTGGGAGGCTTCTAGCGTTGTCCGCCTACAGGACTGGATTGCCATCTGCGGCATCGATGCGCTTTGGCAGCGTCATTGCGCGAAATCGCCGCGTGAGTATTGTCGCGGGTCCTAGGATGGTCCGCTGGCTTAGGAACGGAACGGGCGGCTTGTGGTGTATTGGCGTTCGAATCCGTGCGGGATGAATCCTGGTATGCATACGTGGAGCGTTGTCCGGCGGGCCCGGTCGACCCCGTCGGTACTGCCGGTGGGGAGCGCCGCCTGCACCTGAGCTTCCGGCCTTCGGAGATACGCCCGACCGGCGCAATTTGGCAAATGGGACGCGGCCGGCGTGCGGCTTGCGGCGTGAATGCATTGTTGGAGTTGACGAGCCTGGGCCCGTGGTGCCAAGGGGTGGGACTGATGCGCGGTTCTCGCGGATTCTGTCGCAGACGAAGAAGGGCGCGTCGGAGGAGCCGGGGCCGCGGGAGGCGTACGTGGAGGAGCTGCAGGCGCGCCTGGCGGACCTGCAGGCACAGGTGGGTGGACCGGGAGGGGGAAATGGCTGGATGGGGCGACAGGGTGGCAATGGTGTGACGAGCGTGGCATGAATGGCGTGTCGTGTGGGCCTGGCCTGTGGGGATGTGTTCGTTCGGGCGGGCGTGGAAGGTGCTTGATTCCCGGCGCGTTTGTCGTTCAAACGCAGTCGTTGGAAGGTGAGACAAAGGGGCGCGCCCGCGAGGCGATGACCGGGGGAATTCCGCGCACAGGGACGTCCGGAGTGCGATCTTTACAAAAGGCGAAGTCCAGAGTTTGGTCCGTTCACTGGGCGTTAGGCTTCTCTCCACGAGACTTTCCCTGCATGGAGTACGACTGGGAGGCTATTGTCCCAGTTATGGACGAAATGCAGAAATGCAAGTGCTTCTTGCATCCATTGAGAGTCAATTGTTTGGATAGCGGGTTCCCAGAAAGCGACAGAGCAATGCTGTTGTGTTGACGTGGCACACACAGACACAGTCAAGTCTCTGCAAACATTGTTGATCCTATATGGTATTGATGACCTTTGAATCTGCATGCATGGGAACAGCGTCTCTCTGTGAGTCAAGGGTTCAGTTCCTGAATGAATTCATCCAGTTGAGGGCAGTGGCAGCTAATGTTGTGCTGTTCAGGACCACTAAGTTTAATTCAGCAGTTGCCTGCCCCGTTCATCACCAACAGTAGCTGGAGAGATTGTGCTATCTGGAAAGGCCATGGTGCCCGAAAACATTCACTGCAAGGTTGTGAATTTGAAGCAGCGTATGCGATGTGGTATGGGCAGGTGGAGCAAGGGCAGCAGGAGAGATCTGCCCTTGAGAGCCGTCTGAAAGAGGCTGTGGCGACTGCGAAGGCGGATGCTGCGGCCCTCAGTCAGCAGCTGGAGGCCTCCCTGCAGGAGAAGGGCTCCCTGGAGCGACAGCTCAAGGATGCCGCGGGCGAGAAGTCTGCCCTCGAAAAGCAGGTGAATGTCGTTCATTGCATTTGGCAGAAGCACACGGCAAACAAAACCCTCCTGCCCTTGGAATTCACTGAAGGTGCAAGGCTTGAAAACCTGATGAGCAAACCTGGTCATGTGAGAAAGGCTGATATTTTGTCTTGTATTTGGCACTCAGGCCATCACAGAAGGGCATCACGAACATGATGCTGATGCCTTTCTGCGATGCAAGAGCACATCAGACGCGGGAGCCTCAACTCCCTGTGCAGGATTTGCTTTGAATAGGATGTTGCAAAATTTTCACAAACTAGAGGTGTTGTCCCTGGAAAGCCAGTTTTCAACACATGAAGTTATTTGTATGTCAGAAAAGAACACAAGCAGGTGGCTTTGGCCCATTTTGCACTTGAAAGACCTTGGGAGCTGAAGGGTGTGCAGTGAACGGATCAAACATTTCAGATGTCAGCGACCTGCCTCGTCTCATTGCTGGGGCTGGTGCCATGATCAGTATGTTTTTTGCTCTGTCTGTGAGACTCCCTTGTGCCTTCATGCAGATGAAGGACGCCGTGGCAAAGGCAAAGGCCGAGGCTGCTGCTCTGGGCCGGCAGGTTGACACCGAGAGGGCCGAAAAGGCAGAGCTGGAGAAGCGCCTGGAGCAGCAGCTGCACGCACTTGGGGAGGAGGCCATTGAGGAAGCAGTGGCCAGCGCTGTGGCCTCACGGGAGATTCGCTACCAGAATTTGAGGGAAGACTATGAGGTGTGTGAAAATCTGTCGGCTGCCTGTGTTGGAGGGTAGTAAAGCGATCTAAGGCATCTGAGCCCAATATTGGCATGTATTAGGAGGACATTTGAGTGCTTGGGCTGAGTGATTGGCTTGCATAGCTTTGTGCTGCTGTCTACAGTTCACAGAGGACCTGACTGTTGGAGCAAAATAGAAGGATGAGGAAAACGTTGAAGACAAACAGACAGCGCACGACAAAAACTGACAAGATGAGAAATGCCATAGAGTTCCCAATTCAGTGGTCTGCTGAGCTAAGTTGTGGCCATTGGATGGCACTGGGTGCGCTGCCATTTGGGCAGTGCTCCCGCAATGCTGCAATGTATCTGCCTGCAATCCCGTGCCTCCATTCACGGCCTCTGTCTCTATGGCGTGCAGGAGATGGCAAAAGCAGCACAGGCAGACATAGATGAGCTGAACGAACAGCTCCTGGCTTATCAGCAGGAGGTTATGGAACTTGGGAAGCGGCTTGACTGCAGTGAAGAAGCCAGGTATGAGGCAGAAGCATGGATTCGGCCGTGGGACCTATTCGTACAACAGGTGGTTGTTTGTGCATGTTTGGTATTTGTTATTTGTGTATGCACACTACAGGCATACTTGTAGTATATGGGCAGTGCTGCTACTTGTTTGTTTATTTATTTGTTTATTTATTTATTTACTTGTTTATTTGTTTTTTTTCTATTTTCTTTTTTGCTTGCTGATGTGCATGCACAAGCTTGCAGACCTGCGTGAATGTACATTGCAGGCCAAGACAATTGAAGCACATCACTTCAGCGGTGTGAGTCCCTTGTTCTATGGGTTTGCTTCTTGATGAACATTTGCATGGTCTGGAACAGGGAGAACCTTCTGAGGGAAAAGAGGAGTCTGGAGTCCAGCCTAGTGGAGACGTCTGGTGACCAGATGGAGCTGCAGATGATGTGCAGGCAGCTCGAGAGCGAAAACGAGGAACTGAGGCAGATTCAGGCGGAGCATGAGGCAGATACGCTGAGGCAGCTGCAGATAGCGCATGAGAATGAGCAGATAGAGATGCAGTTGCAGCTGGAGGAGGAGAGTGAGGCGCTGCGACAGAAACAGTCTGAAAGCAAGGTGAGCTGCTTGGTCGGGTGAAGTCAAGCCATGTTAATAATCGGGTGAAAAAAGTTCCCTGGCAATCTTTTGTGTCAGAAATTCGGGGCAAGCTGTTGCAATTCAAAGGTCATTGTTGCATTTCAAGGTGTGGGCAGAGAGTTTTCCATTAAGTTGGAATCCCTTTAATACAAAGGTTCGACTTTACAGGTCATGCCCCATTTGTGGTATGTCCAGAGTGTTTGTCCAACGTTTCCGCAGACACTGAAGGCCACCGTTGCATAACAGCCCCAGACCCACACATCTCTTTGTGTGGAAAAAGGGAGCTGCTGCTGCTGCTGGCACTCAATTGAACCAGTCACCTGAGTTCCAAACGGCCCTGCAAATGAGCCAGTGTGCCCAGAACTACTTTCGCAGATGAATGAACAACACAAGTGTCTCTTGCATTTGCTGTGTGTATATCCAGTTGTCCCTGCACTCATCTTGGCAGGACAATCGCAACCTTTGCAGCTGGTATTCGATGCAGGCCACTGCTGACGTCCAATAACGTTCGCTTCTGTTAATGGTCATCGTCAAACCATTTGCAGCCAGTTCTGGACAACTCTGATGGTTTCAACTGTTGTTCTGTATCGCATCAAGTGAGGCACGTTTCTTAGCCATTTTTCTCAACAGTTCAGATCTGTGATTGTTCTGTACCAGTTCTGTTTCAGGTAGTATGTAGAATGTTGCAAGGTGTGCCAATTTTGAACTGTTTAATTGCTCTCCACTGCAAGGATGCCTCATTGGAGGAGGACGGGGTTGTGGCGGAGGCGGATGAATTTGCCAATGCCCTTGATGAGGTCCAGGCATCACAGGTGGACGCACGCGATGAGCTCCTGGAGGAGGCCAGGGAGATAATGCAGGAGCTGGTGGACACGAAGCTGCGTTACGCGCAGCTGAGCGAGCGCCATGTCATCGTCAGGAGGGACCTATACAAGGCGCGTGAGGCCAACCTGCAGCTGGCATCCAAGATGACCAAGCTGGAAACGGTGGTCTACAAGCAGAGGGCCAAGAACATGGCCAAGACCATGGCCAAGAACAGTATCAGTGTCAGGTGGAGGTGATCTCATGCTTGGGACTGCATTAGTCACCATTCCAAGAACGCTGGCTCATGGTGTCTGATTGAGTTGGCAAGAACCGTGTGCTGCAGTGCAGTGAGCCATTTGGGGAATGCACCCAGCGCTTTGACAACCAGCTCCACTTTATCTTCATGCAGGCCCTCCGGAGCAAGTGAACTGCTCGTGGGCCAATGCATCAGGGCTCTCAGCATTGCGAACGGCCTCCATGTTGTGCAGGCCACCCTTTGTTGTTTGCTCTCTCTGGGTGTGGCGGCTGTGCTGAATCTGCAGGGCAGGGTAGGGGTCGTGTGGGCAGTGGATGTGGGCGGGTAGCGTTCGCTCGGTCGAATATTTATGTTCAGATCGTTGATTGTGCTGTGTTCATGGTGGGCGGGAGGCAGCGCGATGGGAGTGGTTGATGGGAAACCGGCTGGGCTGCATGGCTGCGGCCAGAGAGTGCAGCAAGGGTGGTGGGAGCGGGGCGGAATGAATTGGCAGGGATCAAGACAGAGGTCGAAATGTTGCGACTGGGTAGGGGTTTGGCGAGAGGATTGCGCTGACGAGCAGCAGGTGTGCTCCCGAGTGGAATCACACTTTTGGTGTGCGTTGTGTGGCACGTGTGATTGCCACACCTGTAGGCGTGCATCGTGGTCCATTTCTTTTCCAGATTGATATTAAGAAATTCTTGCTTTTCCCTGTCGTGTTGCCTGGCTCCCGCAACTGAGGACCTGGTGGGGGCAGAACCGTGAGCACGGCTCGCCGCATCGCGAGGTTTGCTGCCAGGCTGGCTGGTTTGAATCCAAGGCCTGAGCGACTGTCAGCATGGCTCGAAGCCATCGGTGCCATTGACGCGACATTCTTAATGTCGTTAATCGCAACCTCCATGCGCTTACCGGATCTTTGCGACTGAAATGGCTTTGGGATACTCCTGCATGAGTTTTCCATGACTGTATGCGGAACCGAAGCCAGCCCGGGGTCCTAATGGTAGTCGGAGATTGCAATGAACTACTGGTAACGACCCCGTGGAAGTCTCCATTGAACAGAACGTGTTCGGCGCGTTAACGTTATAACGCCTTTCACGCCCACCAGCCTTCACTGCTCTTTGGGTTGACTTGGGCCATTTTCTTCATTCCTATGCTTCGGTTGCGCAATCAAAACAAAATCTACCTACGTACCACGTGCGAAAGTTTTTGTTCTGATCCACAACAACGGGCCCTGTGCACAGTGCACCATAAGTCCCGATCAATATGCACCAACGCGTTGGCCCGGTTTTGGTGGGCGCGGGTGGGTACGAGCTTACGTGCCATCTGTGCAGAAAGCCAGAGTTGCCGCAGCGCATAGCGCCCTCTTCCAGTGTCGAACACTTCTGCGTCCCCGCCACAGGCAAGGCAGGTTTCTCTTTCGGCTTAATCTTGTGCCTGCATTGTTCTCTGCCAAGACGGGGAGACGCGGCTCGGCGTTGTAGTCTGTTCCATTCCAATGAAAGAATGCCGGCGAGAGTGAGTGAAGGTCCTTACAGGCAGCGTGAAAAGTCGGCACACTGGTCATGTCCCGTGTCTCTGCTTAACTCAGATAGTTGAACAGCGTCCCTCTGCTATCGGTCTACAATGCCCCACAATAATTGGCAAAAAAAACAACACAAAAAGCCCGCGAGAGAGGGGGACCAGAATGAGCAGGCCTCCAACCCTCTTTGTAGCCGGTGCAATTATCACCAACGCCGGCATCAGCGCGTGGTTGCCCTGCTAGCACCTAATGGGAGGAGACACCGGATTGACACGGATTGAGACTTGAGACGTCTGCCACAAAAGCACTGCCAGCCCCGGTCGCGTCCAAAGGCATCCCCAAGGGTGTCACTGCAGATGGCAATGCTCGCCTGGATGAGGCAAGCCAGGCTTCAACATGTTGCTGCCAGTCGCCCGCCATCGCCGCCCAGCCGACGAGAGGACGAGGAAGGTCGTCCGTTTCCGAGCATGCGACATGCGCTGATTTCGTTGATGGCCGCGCGGCGGCTCACTGTCAGCCAATAAGATGTAGAAATGAGCAGGGGCGGGGTCACAATGCGTGCATGTGACCTTCGTTGCCGCCTGCGCTCGTGCCAGGACAACCTGGAACGGTGCCCCGCCGAGAGTCGACCGCTGTCTCGATGGCGACGCTCGGATTGATCCATGCATTGGGCGTGCCCGGCGATGATTAATAATGCCATCTTGTACATTGTGCCCCTGGGGGGCCAAGGAGGCCGGCGAGCGAGGCCGATGGTGTATTTCTTGACCTCGCGAGGCCGCGGGGAGGGAGGCCTCGGGGACAAAAAGCCAGCCATCCGGCCTTGCAAACGAGAATACGTACCTTTGGAGGGCAGCCGCGCGGTGGAGGGTGAAACATCGAGCGTTGGGGCAAGGCTGAAGGGAGAGCTGGGTGGGTGGATCCAACGCTGCTTGCTCTCAGACCGGCCGATGCAAGTATATTCGGCAGTGGGGTTGCCCTTGCATCTGATGCTTTTGCGCTGACGACCGCTGCTCGGGGACGGATACGCCTTTGAGTCTGACCCGAGGCGTGGTGGCCTTGAGATCGTGCGCCCTGGCGTGGCCGATGGCTCGAGGCGGCTGTTGCGGGGATCGGGTCGCGACGCCATCGGCAACATCGGCCCCAGGTCGAGGCACGCGGGGCTGTGCGGGAGCAACGGTTGGATTGGGCATCAGCGCGACGGCAACCAAAAACGAAAGCATAACTTCGGACACCTACAGCCGCGGCGGGCACCCCCTCGACCTGCGCGGCTCGAAGGAGACCGTGCGAAAGTGCGACGTGCGTTGACCAACGTGGGTCCACGATGTCCGCACGGCCGCACGCATCGTCTGATTGCATTCCCCGCGATCATTTCTTAGCCGAAATCTGGCCAGTCCGCGTGGCAACCTCGCTCCCGTCGCCTGTCCTTGGCCGCCGTCGTGCGTCAACAGAGCGGCAGGCTTCCGTTTGGGAGCTTTGCCCGTCTGCCGACGTGCAGTTTGCAACGTCGTTGATTTAGCCGTATCGGAACCGCGGCCGCAGGCGCCGTGGACCCGTCAGTTTTCGGTCGGCAACGTTTTGCGCGTTTCGCGGGCGGGTCCCAGAAACCAACGGTAAGGGCAGCGGGTTCTCAACTACTAAAATGCCGAAGCGGTGAAGGCACACGGAGCCTGAGGCCGTCCAGCAAGGGCGGGATTGCCAGGCATCATGCAAAAGGCTCCGCGATGCAGTGCGCGACGTGCATGTTGTACCAGAGCTGATTGAGTATTACTACAATAGCTGGACGCATTAAGAGGTTGTGAGATACATGGGAACTGAATTGAGGACAGCGATGAACGGACCGGATGTGAGGGACAGGATTCCTGTTGTCCCTTTGCTCCGCTGTAAGCTGTTCCCGTGTACATCAGCCTACCAGCCAGGGGTCGCCACCCCTCGACCCTGCCTGCCTTCGTCACGTGCACGCGTGAGCATGCGCCCATCGAGGAAACGCGGTTTGAGGCGGTCATCTGGCCATGATTCCCTGTTTCCTTCTTCACACCCCTCCCCGCCTTGTTTACTGCAAAATCTGCTGTTGCGTTGCCAAGTCCGTGGTGTTTTGCGCAACCAAATGGAGTTGCTGGTCCCACAGGAGGCACACAAAGGGATCCGTTCAAACTCCGTCCTGCGTGGAATTCACCCCACCTGCCAGCCATGGATTCCATGGCGCTGTCCAGATGCGGATTCGCCCTGTCCGTCGTCATGTGCATCTTCGCTGCGTTTCCACTGCTGGCTCGCGGCCAACAAGACAATGATGCACTGGGATGCTCTGACACCGAAGGGGATGCTGCAGCGGTGAGTTATCCTGGGCAATTGGCGTTAGCTTAGTGTTTGCACACGCAGTTCTATGTTGTGACTGCTGCACGGGCCAAATATATTGTTCCATACGCTACTCGTTGCAGGTGTCAAAAAACATCTCTGCATGGCCCCCAAACTTAAATAACGAAGTACAATAAAATGGCCATCCAATGTTGAAAAATTGGTGTCCATCTCTCCGCGAATTCGCTGTCACTACGTTGGAAGTTTCGGGGAATTCGACATTCAGCCATGCAACACTTCGAAGAACGCCATACCTTGCTTCTCTATATTTCTTTAGCGCTCTTAAATCTACAAATTCTCAAAATGGGCTTGCTCGTGGACATTCTGATGATCAGGGTCGCTCACGTGCAATTTTCGCTCGGTAACTTCTTTGGAAAGATCGAAGCCTGAAGAGAAGAGGGTCGGTGCACTGGGGCGCCTGTCCACATCTGCGTCCACAGCGCGCGACTGTGAGATGTGCTGCTCGATGCGCAAACACGCAGGCCGTTGTTGGCCTGTTTCATCGATTATTTTCATGGCTCCACTTCCAACACATTTGTTTCCGGCATTTGTCTATAGGGGCATCATTCTTTTTTTGTCACATCTGATAATACTGCAGTAGTCCGTAATTTCATTGCTATAAGGTATTTGGATATGGGCGCTGCCTTCCCACAGCCAACTGTTTTGGCGATTTGCTTCATCTGCCCACATTCAATTGCGATAACGCACCCCGGTATTTCATGCCGCTGATATTGTGTGGCTTCCTTGAGCCGCAGCTGGAGGCATGCGTGCATGCGGTGCGGAAGGACCCGACGGTCATCCAGTCCACAGCTTCGTGCGATTTGAGCGTGTACAAGGTAAATCTTTGCTGTGCTCCACTCTTACCCATCTGTCACCTCTAGTTGGTTCTAGCTGACTGCCACCTGCTGTGGAACTGTCCAATGGACAACATCACTGTGGTTTCCATCGCCACGCATCATTATTTACTGGCTTAGTGTGGCATGCTGGACAAGCTGTCCTTACATTGGCCTACAGCGCCACATTAACTTCCTTTTGATTTGGCTCAAATTGACATATCGAATTCAAGGGAGGCTACTCTTGCCAACATGTGGAGCACTAGCTACATATTGGCAAGTTCCTGTGGGATAGTCTGTATGTTTAAATGCACAAAT